CAAATGTATTTCTACGACATACTTGTAGCCTAATTGGGGTGACCCTGAATATGAATAGGTGTATCGTGTTACAGGCGCGGTGGGGTTCATCTCTGAATCACCACCTCCCCCAAAGCGCGGCTTGATTAAAAGATAGTAGATCCAATTACCGGAGGACAACTGTCTGCTTTTTGCGATTTTGGGCAAGGCGCGGTGGGGTCACCCTTAGATGCCGCTTTCACATGTTTTCAAGCGCGACGGACGGACGACTGCAGAACACCTGGACCCGTGTGGCACGTGGCACTTTTCATGTTCGTACGTCTGGCCGGCATTAATGGGAGGGTGGCATTAGCAAATGTGGCACTAATGAGAGTCCCCCCCCTCCCCTGTACGTTGATGTCTCGTACATTGTTGCCGTCTTCACGCTGTATGTCACCAAATTGTCGCAGAATCAGCACACTCTCGCAGTGACGAGCCGCTGAGACGCTCCTCAAGACCTACCGGTGCGGATACCGCCTCAAACGCCGAGTCGACCCCCCACTTTCCTTCAAGAAACAAAAGTACTCTGTAGTAACTTGCTTCACAAGCCCCCCTGCCCTGTGTTTTGCAAAGGAAGCAGCTCTTCGAAACATTCCCTTCCTCATCCCCACGTTTCAATCCATCCTTCTCGTTCGCCTCTCCGTCTCGCAGCTATGACTCTCCTCCAGCAGTTGAACGTCACGCCCGACTTCAGCTTTTCCACACTTCAAACGTCCAGCGACATCGTCAATGCCCTCATCATATCACTGCTCACCGTCTTCATCATCTCCAACATCCTGTCAGTCACCTCCGAGCTCATTTTCAGCGCCCGCGAAAAGAGCTTCGAGTACTCCTCCTGGGTCCGTTTCTTCATCTTTGTCAATAGCAACGACCCCATCAGCAGTCTCTCCTGGATTTGGCACAGGTACTCGTACAAGGAGAAGGGCTGCACACGTTACAGGTACGAAATCCAACTCCGCAGGCTTGTCCTCCCCCTTCTGGTGAGACTCTTCATTTTGGTTACTGCCATCGCATCTGTTGCCATCTCCATCCCGAGCTAAAAGCGTGTGAGTGGGTGTGAGAAGGGCGACTTTCGAGTCCAAATGGACCCTAACGTTCGAACGCCAGCCCCGGATTTAAATAGGGTTTGCGTCCAAATTCCGCTGACAACTACACTGGGCGAAGTCAGGTCCTTTGTGTCGTATTGTTCTTGCTTGGTGGAGTATGCATTCGACAGTGCTGAAGGGGTAGGCCAAGGGACAATGTTTACATTGACGGACGGCAAGGGTCATCTAACAATGATGATAAGTGTCATGATTCCCATGAACAGCTCACACACCTGTGACACGCACACACGTATCAAAGAGTGCAGCTACCCAGACAGCGCCGCTGTCCCCGGCGACACTTCCCTTTTAGTAGTGCGCGGACCCTCAGCCTCAGTAAACTCGGCCGTCGTGCCCTTCACCACAATAAGCAGCAGGAATAAAATTGCCGCGAGTGCCTTCTACATCCAATGGGTGAAGGACAGAGTGCAAGAAATCAACGACACATCGCTCCTCTTCACAAATTTTTACAAGATCGATTCTAATGTTCGTCTCGAAGTCATTGCCAACGCACTCCGTTCAGAGACAGGACAAGAGTGCAACACTATGGCTACTACCACAGAAAGAAAGAATGAAGACGGTATGAGAGTGAAAGGGCAGCTGCTGAATTGCGATTTTGATGTCCACGGTCTTATATCAAGGATCCAAGCTAACATCACAGGCTCACTGACCTTACAGAAGCCTGGGCGAGGCGAAAGGGATAATCGGTTGGAGTTGAATCCCCTCAACGGCGAAGTGCGCGATAGCACGAGGCGACGGCTAATTCTGCTCCTGTGCTCTTGAGAGACACCCTAATCACCTACATAAGCCGAGCTGCCGTTCCATTCAGCACAAACCCGCCCTAACGGAAGCTTTACATGAGAAACGAAATGAACGCTGCAACTGGATTGGTCGACAACACGTAAGCTAAAGTCAATGCGTTATAGTTAGTATTGTACAATACTAACTACAGTATAACGCATTGACTTTAGTTATAAACTTTATATGAATGCAGGGTATCGATAGTGATAGTATGATCGCAAGACGTTGCTTACTGTAGGAAGGTGGTACACGGGGAAGTAAGTTGGTCAGACGGAGGCCCTTGCCATTTAAAGTAGAATGTAAGGCTGGCTCATCACTGCTAGGACACCGCCCTGTCTTTAAATAAAGTGACCATTTCGATAGTGGATAAACAATACAAAAAGTGGATGGATAGATGAACAGGATGCATCAAGCTATTTTCAATGCGACGTCGCGAATAGAATGGAGACTGGCATCTGGGGTGCTGCTGGGTACGTTTCATGGAAACGGATTGAAACCGGGACTTGCAAGTTTGTTTCTCTCGTCGCACTTCATTTCCACGCTGTCTTTCTATTACAGCGTTAATCCTTGTCCTCTCATTCTCGACACTTTTCCCACCGATGTCTTCAGTATCCATGTACCAAAATCACAGAGTTTCAAAGGATGGTATTCAGTAGTTACAGCCTGTGTTATTAACTTACTACAATTGGCCGCCACCACTGCATCCGTCCTATCCAAACCCGCCCCGCACTCATACCTCGAGCCCACGCCGCATCTTTCCCCAACGCGGCCGCACTGCCGCACCATATAAACCTCGCCCCCCCGCGCGACCCACTTTCCGCACCATCCGCACCGCCCCGCACCACCATGCGTCTCACGGCCCCCCTCCCCCTGCTGCTGCTGCTGCTGCTGCCGCTGGCGCTGGCGCAGCTCCCGGTCCCCATCGACATCAGGTGCCTGCTCGACGCCGCGCGCTGCTGCGCTGAGCGCGGCATGGGCTGCCTTGGCGCCGGGCGCCGCTGCTCTACCCTCGGGTCGCGCATGCGCCCGGTGGGGTGCAAGCCGGGGCTAACGTGCGTCATCCGCGACTTTGGGTTCCCGTCGGCGGGCCGCCCGAACAGCGGGCGCTGCCGCAGGGTCGGCCGCGTGAGCAAGTGCTCCGTGGGGAAGTGCTCGCGGTTCGGGCCTAGATACGTGTGCGAGGTGCCGCTGCCGAGGGGGATCGGGATCGTCACCACGTGCCGTGCGTGGACGAGGAGGAGCGACGGCAAGCCGGGCCGGGCTGCTCGTTCGCTTGCATTCTCATCTGTGCGGTCGGGGACGAGCGGCCGCTCGCGAGTAACGGGAAGAGGTTTTGCTCGATCTGCCAGCTGAGGCAGAAGAGCTGCGCCGCAGGGTTCAGGGTGTTTGGACCGGTTAGCCCGTGAGGGGGCATCGTTGATTGAGCTCCCTGGCGTTAGTAGTATGTACGTCGGTTTTACAGACCTGGGGGAAACGGAGACTATTTAGGATCACGGTGAGGCCTTTTTGGGTACTGGGGAAGGCAATGAACAGGTGCACTCGCAGTTAAAGACACAAACAAGCGCTTGTTTGCCCGTGCTTGCCCGTGCTTGTCCGTGCTTGCCCGAAAAAAAACACTTGCTCTGGTTTGATTGGTTCTGGTAGTTTAATATTTAATAACTTCGAAGAAGTTACCTCTTACAGACGGCATTGGTGTAGCTTACGCCTTTGGGACAGTTGTCGAAGTCATATTGGCTGGTTTGACTAAATGTACACTTACGATTTGGCGGACTATTTCGTAGACATACTTGCACAAGCAAAAAGTGGGTTGACAGGGAATGCAAAACCATTCCCGTCACTCCAACATTCCCCCTCCCACGGGCTCGTACACATTGGAACGCCGCGGTGTATACTGTAACCCTAGATTTATGGCTGACAAAATACTGTCAGAGCTGCAGAGAGAGTGTGTGTAAGGAGTTTGTACAGCTGCCCACGTGTGCAAAATGTTTTTTTAATTTCTTCAACAAAAACAGGCAAGCACAGGCAAGCACGGGCAAGCACGGGCAAACAAGCGCTTGTTAAGACACAGGGGCACCCTGTGTGCACCCTGTGGCAATGCATCTGTTCATTGCCTTCCCCACTCATAGTTAATTAATTTCTGTTCATAGTCCGATAAACCTACCTAAACTTGAACTATCATCACTAGCAACTTGCTAGTGATGATAGTTCGACTTTTGCTAGTAGCAAGCTCAGAACGACACAATAGGGAGTTTACGCACGCGACATGAGAAATGTAATGACATAACCGTTCAGTCCCTAATTGGTATCATTTTCTGTTTTCGAGACTAAGCTGGATAGATTTAAACAAAAAAAAACATTTCTTTAGCGATTTGGAAGCAACGAAAGCGCATCTGTGACACCAACAGTCGACTTTGGATATAGGCACCCGCTCTGACAATACGGCAACTAAAAACATTCAAATGGAGCCTGTTTAGAGAGATTTTCCTAGTTCGTACAGTATTTCTCAAAAGAAAGCGACGTGGCCCATCAATTAGATCTCAAATACACGCCGCGCACCCCTCATCTTTGCACTTTGTCTACGCACCCTGCCTGTGTCAGACAAAATCCGGGCTCGAGCGGACCGTTCTGGGGCGAGAGCACACAACTTGCGCATTTCGGAGGCCGTCTCCCTCCCACAGTTACAGTAGTGGTTTATGTGGTTCTATTCCATTTTTTTGGTCTGCACCATGCAGTCCCTCCCCGAGTAGCTATGTGGCGCCCTTTTTGATGGCGCGAAATCGGTTCGCACAGTCGGAGAGGAGACTTAGTTGGCACTATTTCGCGCGAAGGAGGCATGGCGAGGTAGTAAGTTCCGCAAATTTATCGGAATTCTGAATGCGGATTAGGAAAATAACGAATTAGGGACTGAACGGTTACCGTGTACCTGTCATTCACTTCACATCTTCTGAGGCATCACAGGCGATCGAATTCCTACACTGCGGTACCCTTCGTGGTACATAAATGAGAGAGGCCGAAACGGCCGAGTGGGCGATGACGGGTGCGGCGCGCAGCGCCCCACATATCGCCTCATTTTGACAAGAAGCTGGCGAAACTAAGAGCCACGTAGCAATAACCATGCAGTACTTTTAAAGCCAGAGCACTGCCCCGTATCTATTACAACAGCTATTTCTAGTCCGCAACTGACAACGACGAGATCAAACCTGGATAACGGCCACAACACTACACACGGGGCATGCGATGACAGAGGGCGCCAGAGCCCGCGCGTAAACAAACCCTCTCCCCTTCCGAATCAAACGCCCGTGCACAACTGGCAGGAACAGAGCAAGCGTGCGTACCCACCCTACACGCCCGCGCGCAAGGTCCATAAACCGAGGGCGATGACGACTGGTAGGAGGGCGGAGAGCAAACCGGGGCCTGCCTTCCTCCCCTTCTCCATCCTCATGCCGCAATAAAGGTCGGGGTCCAACGCGCCGACACCGCCGCCCTCTCGAAACCCGAGGCGCGTATAAAACGTCTTGGCGGCGTCGTTGAATCTCCTGACCGCGACGGTGACGACGCGCACGCCCTTTCCCCCTTCGCACACGGCCGTCTCGATGAGCTGTCTGCCCACGCCGCGCCTCTGCCACGCGGTGCTGACGGCCATCTGGCGCAGGTACATGGCGTTGCACTCGACGTCGACGCTGAGGTAGCCGACCAAGTCTGCGCCGTGTCGCGCGACGTAAAACCGGACGGTAGGATGCGCGGTCTTGAAAGCGGCCTCCTCGTCGTCGAAGGCGGCGTGCAGGAAGGCGGGGACCGTCTGGCTGGGGGCCAGACCGAGCGTGGCTGGCGGCAGATCGTCATACACGTCGCGGAAGGCCGCCACAAAGAGCGCACGCTCGGCGGGCAGCGCACGCTTGGAGGCGGCAGCCGTGAGGCGCGAGATGGAGAAGCCGGCGGCAGACATGGAGCTGGTGGGTGCGACGAAGGCCGGGGCGATGCCGGTGGCGCGCATCCCGTTTTAAGGGCCGTCGGAGGTGCGGCAGAGCCTGCGGCAGGGCGTCGCGTCGCCAAGGCGACGCGTCCAACGCGGCCGGCAGTGATGGTTCCCCGTTGGAATACGGGATAGACTGGTTGCGGCGGCGTGAGTGCTCTCGCGGTGACGGGGAAGTTGATGCGGAGGTTGCCTGCTCTCGGTTAGAGCCTGCAGCAGGGCGTCGCGTCGCCAGGGCGACGCGTCCAACGCGGCCGGCAGTGATGGTTCCCTGTTGGAATACGGGATAGACTGGTTGCGGCGGCGTGAGTGCTCTCGCGGTGACGGGGAAGTTGATGCGGAGGTTGCCTGCTCTCGAGGTTCCTGCCCACGAGGTTGCGAGGTATGAGTAGGTATCCACGTGGCGGGAGGCGGTCTTGAGGGCTGAAAAACAGTTAAATTTTGCCCTCACGTTGGCGACCTTTTCTCCGTCGCCACTGCGTTGTCCTTCTTATACTCATCCGCTTCGTTGATGAATTTCTGTCCCGCCCCGTCGCAACCCCTCCCCCTCGCACCCCCTCCCCCTCGCATCCTCACGCTCTCACTCCAACGCAATATTGCAAACCGCTTCTTTCCTCTCCCCCGTGTCACTTTGCCACATGCATCGCAACCCGCCGCCCCTCTCTCTTTCGCCTCCCCACTCTAGCTTGTACTCCCTGGTCACCCATTCGAGCAACGACAACGACCGGCAAATGCTCAACGTTCCACTCAGCTCATCAAACACTGCTTCCACCCTTTTCGGTCCGATCTTCTTCCCCAACTCACGCACCTCCTTATAGAAGCCTCCTTCGTCTTGCATCCCGTACCGGTCGCAGTAACGACACCGGCTCAAAAATGTTGCTATCACATACAGTGTCTCCGTCCTCGCATTCGGAAATTCCTTCTGTGTCCTCTCGTCCTCCTCGCGATCTATACCTTCCCTCTGGTCGCCGGCCCAAAACCCCGCCACGTCTACCCACTCTTTAGTAACGACGATCCACAACAACCAGAACATTGCGTTTCGCGCGTCGATGTACACCACTCTTTCCCGAGTTACCGCTTCGGCTGCCATCCCGGGGTTTTGTCTCACACGCTCCTCGATCATCCCCTCTAGCTCGGCCACCCGCGCCGTGATGTGGTACAGAGTCGTCGACGGGAAGAACAACGCCACGCTCAAGATGGACTCGATGTTGTTGTGCAACGACGCCTCTATCGTCCCCGATGACGATGTGATCGACAGCAGTCCGCTCGTGTGACGCACTTCGAGCAGCACCCGCACCTGTTTGATGAGCCGGTCCAAGTTGCACCCCACGTACTCGTACTTGTCGCGCAGTGCCTTGCGATTGGAGATCGACTGCTCGTACACGGGCACGACCAAGTATGCCCGCCGAAACGCATTTTCAAGAACTGCCGTCGTTGTGATCACCGCCGTCATGATCCGATCATGCACGCGCTCCACGTCCAGGCCCTCGCACACGCGCAGCGACCGCTTGATGGCCATGCTTTGTTCGAAAATGCTCTGCATTTCTTGCCGCCCAAAGTGCACCGTGTCATACCGCGCTAGGATGCGCTCGTGTATGTGGCATCGTACCCACCAGTGGAAGTCGAAGGAGAGCAGCAACAGAAACTCCACGAGAGAGCTGGCGTAGAGTAACCCCATCAAGCTCGTGAGAATGACCGTAAGCAAGAGCGTGCACGTCGCGTTAACGCATGGGAGGATTTGCGAGCGGCGCGAGTTGTGCCGCACTTGGTGTGCGGCGTAACGACTGGCGGAGACCAGGACTGTTAGCCAGGTATAGAAGAGATGGTGGAGTGAGGCGCGGCGGGATGTGGTTTCCCAGAAGCTCTTGACTCGTGGTGAGGCAGGGGAGAGCGTGGAAAGCTTGCGCAGTGTGGGCGGCGAGGGCCGCCAGAGGTGCGAACGAAACCAGATGCCGTCGGGGTCTTGCTCGGCCACGGTGATGGTACGGTACAGCCAGGCGATGGGGAGGGCGTGGATGCAGGCTGCGCGCATCCAGGGCCACATCTCTAGCTGGCGCACCAGGGTGGCGATGAGCTCGAGCAGGTAGGGAGCGGCGAGGGCGAAAGGGAGGATGAGGGCGGTCCAGTCTTGCAGGTCAAAGGCGTCGTCGGTGGTGGAGTTGGCGATGCCGGATCGTACTGTTAACACAGCGAGGAGAAGCAGCAGCAGCCAGAGAAGAAGCGCGAGGATATCGTTGCGCCGCCGTTCCAGGAGCGAGTCGGTCGAGGACCATGGCTTGGCGAGGAGATTGAGCAATGAACCATACGTGATCACGACGACGATGAGGACTTGGGACATTTTGATGTGGAGGGTGCGGGAGGGGGGATGCGGGAAGGCACGAGAACGGAACGAACGGAACGCACGGAAAGAAGCAGAATAGAAGAGTGCGTTGCAGAGGGGGATTTCTGGCTGGCGTGTTCGCGTGGCGTTTCTGTACATTTGCTCACCGTGCGCGTGAACTCCCCTCGTCATAAGAGTGATCGCTTGGATATTGGCAACAAGGAGTCCTCAGTGCAGGCGAGAGCTACGGTATGAAGGATGCCATTGAGATCTGTGCCAATGTACCCTTCGTAACAGCTTACGGGGCAGGGGAACAGTTTTCAAAGCCAAGTGAGACGATACCCCTCATTGAGATGTCCCATTGAAAGACTCGCTCCGCAGCCCCCGTTTCTGGCGTGTGGGTGTTTCAACCCTCGAAATGTGGCAGTTCATGAGGTTCTGGATAATACTCGTCGTGGGTACCGCGTTAAAGCCTTCGTGTGGGAGCAGTCACCTGCGTGAAGAGGCATCCTTGCCCCTGCCATACGCTCCCTGCCCATTCGCTGGCGACTCATCCTTCCTGAGCATAGACCGTCGATCCTCAGGTCACACGCGAACTGTGAGGGTGGGACGCGCCCTCTCTCGTACTCAAGACCCATTTCTTTCTTCGCGACTTTTTCGACGTACAGTATTGCCGCAAAACCTCATAATATCGGAAGGCTCACGACGACAGCCGTGGTGCCTGGTCCTGCGGAGTATGCATACCGAAACCTGCGATGCCCGACTCGAAGAGTAGAAAATTGAGGGCGTGTCTTAACAGGCTGGTTTTTGCTTGCCTTGCCCGGTTTTGCCAGGAATACTTTTAAATTCTTAACAAATACCGTATGCTTCTTAAGCCCTTGCTTTTCTTAAACACATAAATTAAAACGTAGGAGCCACTCATAGCACGCCAAGTCACTTCTTTGGGCAAGGCAAAGCAAACCGCAGCAAAACGGGGCATGTTAAGACACACCCTGACTGGCTCGTCCCTCGACCACCGCCCCCATGCCATCCCGGCCTGTGTGTACCCTTACCTGACGCCACGTATGGCCCGTGCTCTAATCCCCTGATCCCCTCACATCCGCTAGTGTACCCCTCTACAGTAATTTCTCCGACAGTTACCAAGGGTAGTACTCATACCAGACTCCGCAGGATGACTGTGCCTTCACAATGGAATGAAGCATTGATATTGGAATGGGGCAACGCACTCTCTGTGAACCGGACACTGCGCATCATAGAGTAGCACAATGCTCACCCGCATTTATTTTTAGGACTGGACTCTCTTGCACTCTAGAAGCACACACCACCGAAAGCATCAACTCAGGCACTTACAATGCCATGGACTCGAGCATCACCCCAGCGCAGGCGCCGCGTGCCCGCACCGTGCTAATATCGCCCGAGAAAGTGTGTGCAGTACCAAGGGTAGCGTACTACTGTATGTAAACACTAACTGCTCGCCTGCGACTCGCTTTCTCGCCGTTCACCAAAACCCCACGCCCCTGCGCTATGCCCACACACGAGCCAATGGTCCTAATCCAGCGTAGTCATCTGTGGCCACAAGACCTGTACCTCGCAATGATTCCCCTGCTCTTATATCCGCTGTGTCCCTCGAAACATGCACGGAATTGCTATCCTTCTCACCGCGAACTCTTCGTTAGGAACGGCCCTGAAGGGCCGTCATTGCGTGCGGTCTGGCGTACAGTACCAGCGGGACCCGAGGCACAATATTTTGTGCTATCATAACCGTCAACTGTTCTGTGCTGTTGTTGAACACGAGACATCCTTGGTTGTTGCAATGGGTCATCTGTGGCCACAAGACCTGTACCTGGCAATGATCCGTATTTAGCTAAGCATTCTAGGAAGTCAGACAGTAGAGAGTACAACAGGTTGGAATTGGAACAATGGCAACGACCTAGACGCGAAGAGGGAAGCAAGTGCTTATAAAGCCAGCACGAGAGAGTACACTGAAAGGATAGAAGAAACCTGAGCAAGAAGAAGATCCTGGGAGCCACCTAGGAAGCATTGTACTCATCGTGTTTGCCACTCGTAGACGTAGACAGGTCCTCTATCTACCTCGCAGTCCCATCTGGAAGATGAGTGATTCTGGATAATCCAGAACTGCACAACACCTTCTGTACTTGACACTGCTCCACTCCAACAGTGAGTGGCAACTGCATGACTGCTGCAGTCGCGTACTGTACACAGCATATCCTGAAGACTGATGCGGCACACTGATATCCCGGCCGCGCTTCCAGTTTCGGGCTTTCTGTAACTTCTCATCCGTAAATGTCACGCGATAAACATGCTGACTGTTATCTCGACAAGTACTGAAACCTGTGGTAAGTCTACAGATATATACACACCTTTCAAATCTAGCGAACAAGAATTCTATCAGATCGACCATTGACCCCAGGAGTCTTGGGCAATGGTTGGTTTAGAAGGTAACGATCTGGTTGTCGTAATGATTTATTTTGATAGAGGGACTGCGCAAGAACTATATATGAATCACCTAACATGTGCAGAGGCAGTCTAAGCACTTTGTTTGTATGACCTAATCAAGTTCAATTTTGTTGAATTGAGAATATCAGTATCCTTGGTACCGTAGCACGTGAGATGCTGGCCGGCGTCTTTGGGTCCAATTATGCCGAAACTACTATGTACTACGTGTCCCCGCAGTATAACTAACGAACCGAAAGACCGGAAGTGTAAAGGCACACCCTCCAACAAGGAGATACTCATTAGTTTAAGTTGCATGCCTCGACCACTGCGGTATTGTCAAGGAGCCGCTAGTTGAGGTGATGAATGCATTACGATAGTCTGGATACTTCATAAAACTATACGTAGTTTTCATGGACATTGCTGGGATGGTGGTCCTAAGCTGTAGTCTATGTCAGAACGGGAAGCAATTAATATATGTTATATGTAAGCCTTCCCATCTGGGTTCGGTTTTGGAGGTGCATATGCATGCACCTGAAAGCCAGTCCCGATCGATTTACCTCAATTCTGGCATATTCACACATTTAAATAAAGGATGGCGGGCGGGTCTGACCACTTCGTAAATTTCTCCCAGAAGGAGTGATCGGGATCGTCCACCGCCGGGAATTGCAATACTAAACCGTCCGTTCCTCCGAGGGAAAGTAAAAAGGGTGCTATTACAGCCTTTGCGGTTGCAATCATCAGAATAAACAGCCACACATGGGAAAGTAATGCACCTATTCTGAAGAGCAGTGATTCTGTGTAACTCTATGCAGGGAATAAATTATCTCAATCGGACGTGTTTGTTGGAAATTGAAATTTCGAACTTCCAACCTCTCCGTCTGACTGGCTGCATAAAAGAGCATCAACGCTGTCGGATGAGATAGAATATGGAAGAACTACGAGTGTATACGGTTGTCCTAAGGGTGGTAAGCATCAAATGTGGCTGTCGCAACTCGTTTTTGCGATAACTTTCTATATATATATTGTTCACCGCCCTGCGGAGTTCCACTGCCATCTGGACTTGGGTTTTCGCCACTAGACAAGAAAAAGAGTCGACAGCTTTTCTTACTACTTTCCTACTTGCGACAGACTTTCAAGATGTTTCCTCCATTTGCCCTTTTCCCAAGGATACATCTTGCAAATGTCTTATTTTCCACAGAGGAAAAGGGGCGCGAGCCCGAAGCAAAACGTATTCCAAAAGTGACTCTCCGGAAGAGCACGGCTCAGAAATCCGACGAGGGGTGTATGCCTTTCATGCATCTCTGGCGGGGATTCAAGGCTCTGTTTAAGGGCAAGGGGCGAGACCGGCAGAAGCGGCTATTGTACGCACACCTAATACCAGGAACGATAATCGGGGAGCGCTTCATTATTCGCGAGTTGCTTGGGCATGGAGGCGGTGGAAAGGTTTACGGAGCTGTGGATCTGGATACGGGGAAACAGCTGGCAGTGAAAATGGTGGTAGGCAAGGAGATGTTCTCAACTTTGAAGACAGAGTACATGGTGCACAGAGCACTGCGGAAAGCAAAGAATATTACGGAGGGGTTGACTAAAATACACTATCTTGGGAGTTACGGAGATATGTATGTGATGGTGATGGACCGACACGGGCCGTCACTGGAGCATTTGGTGAAAGCGTCAGGCGCTTTGAAGGCGCCCGACGTGCTGCGAATAGGGCTGCAGGCGATTGACAGGTTGGAGAATTTGCACGATCGCGGATATGTGCACAAGGATATCAAGCCCGAAAACATGATGATGGACTTGGACACGGAGCAGAAGCTGCACCTGATCGACTTTGGGCTGACGGCGAAATACAAGGATAAGAACGGGGAGCACGTGCCGAACGTGACAAGCAAATTCGTAGGGACGGTGTGCTTCACGTCGTACCACGTGGATAATAGCTGTGTATCTGTGCGAAGGGATGACATGGAGAGCTTGATGATGGTGCTGGCGTACATGCGGCGCGGGTGTCTGCCGTGGTCGATGATGGGGACGGGCGGGGAGTATCAAGGGAACGTGCGGCAGCTTCTGCAGGACATTTGGGCGGCCAAGGAGTCGGTCACATTGGAGCACTTGTGTAAGGGGATGCCGCAGGAGTTTCTGGAGGTGATGCGGTACGCGCGGGGGATGGAGTTTGAGGAGCGGCCGAATTACGAGTGGATGCGGATGAAGTTCCGCGACGCGCTGAGTAAGCTCAAGGAGGAGAGAGAGCTGGCGCAGAGAGAAGAGGATCTGCTGAGGAAGATGGAGGTATGGGAGAAGCAGAAGAGGGTATCAGGGATCAAGACTTGGTAGTGATGTTTTGTAATGTGCACAATGGAGTTACGTATGTTCTGAGGAGCATATGCGTTTTTGAAATATTTGATAAATATATTGGAAAAAATTAGATGAAAGTTGAAATGTTGGGAATGTTGAAACGGGCCACTTGTCCAGTGGTGATTGGAGCTTGCAGGGTGGCGGAGAGCAGCGAATGGCGACTGATGGGCCAACCGGACTGCAAACGTGCGGATCACAGAGACCGCGCGGGTCGCCCCCGCCTCCCGTCCAGTCATCGCACAGTCCTCTCCCATCACCTTGGAGATAACCTCCGCCGAATACTTCAACCTCCCTCGTCGTCCTAATCTCTCCGTCCCCCATCTCCCCACACCGCTCCCCCACCACCCACGCTGCCCACCATGTCCGACCCAATGGCGGCCTTCGTCAACGCCCTCCCCCTCCCATCTCTGCGACCGACTGCCTCCCGCGCCACGCCCCTGCGTCGCCCCTTCTCTGCGCCCACCGTGCACGTCCGCCCGACGCTCCCGTCCTTCCGACTCGCGCCCACATGCGTCGCTGCGCCACCAGTCGCCGAATCCTCTTCCGAGCCGTCGGCTCCTCTGACCGTTCGCCAGGATGTGGTGACGGTCGCCTTTGTGGCCCATATCGACCACGGCAAGAGCTCCATGTGCGACGCCCTGCTCAAGGGCGCCTCGTGTTTCCGCGATAACGAGACCGTCGAGGACCGCGTTATGGACGCCATGGACCTAGAGAAGGAGCGCGGCATCACTATCAACGCCAGCGCTGCTAGCTTGCTGTATAAGGACGTCAACGTCCAGATTTTGGATACACCGGGACACGCAGACTTTGGCGGCGAGGTCGAACGTGTCTTGAACATGGCTGATGGCGTCCTGTTGTTGGTGGATTCCGTGGAAGGTCCCAAGCCGCAGACTAGGTTTGTGCTCAAAAAGGCCATCGCGCTGGGAAAGAAAATTGGCTTGATCATCAATAAGATGGACCGACCTCAGGCGCGCCCGGACTTCGTTGTCGACGCCACTTTTGATCTCATGGCTGAGCTGGGTGCAAGTGATGAGCAGATGGACTTCAAGATAGCCTATGCGAGCGCTATTAATGGCCAGAGTGGCAAGGAAGCGGACGCCATTGAGGACAATATGGATGCCGTCTTCGACCTCGTCCTCGACTTCCCGAGACCCGCTGTCGCGCTCGACGCCCCGTTGCAGTTGCAAGTTAACAACGTCACCTATGACGAGTTCAAGGGAAGGCTCGTGTCTGGTCGCATCAATGCAGGCCGGCTGCGAAAGGGGGAGAGCGTCGTTGTTTGTCATCCCGAAAAGGATACCACCAGGGGCAAGGTGGCCGAAATTTTTGTGTACGATAAGCTCGGAAGGGCCACAGTAGATCAAGCCCAAGCAGGTGATATTGTTCTGTTTTCAGGGCTCACCAAGTTTAATATCGGCGACACCATCTGCAAGGCCGATGCGGTTCTGCCTCTCCCGCCCATCAAAGTAGAAGAACCAACTGTGCGTATGTCTTTCATGGTCAATGTATCGGAGTTTGCCGGCCAAGAGGGCAAGTACGTCACCTCGCGTAACATTAAGGATCGTCTCGATAAGGAGCTTGAACGCAACGTTGGGTTGCGTTTAGATAGAGATCGTTCATCGCCAGACTCGTTTGAGGTGTGCGGGCGCGGTGCCCTTCATTTGACCATTCTGATCGAGACGATGCGACGAGAAGGTTTCGAGATGATGATTGGACCGCCGACGGTCATCACCAAGACAGTTGATGGAGTCACGCACGAGCCGTACGAGCAATTGGAAGTGGAAGTACCAGAGGAGTACATGGGTGCCGTGGTGGACTTGCTGAGCCGGCGGAAGGGTGAGATGGTGAACATGGCTGGTGCCAATTCGGAAAACATGGCGAGTGTGGTGTATTGCATTCCGACGCGCGGTTTGCTCGGAGTGAAGAACGCGCTTTTGACGGCTACGCGTGGCACGGCTGTGTTGAACTCTCAGTTAGATGGATATCGGCCGTTTGCTGGGGAGATGGAGGCGAAGGAGCAAGGCAGCTTATTGGTATACGAGACGGGTAAGGCGACTTCGTACGGGTTGGAAGGGGCGCAGGATCGGGGGCGGTTGATCGTGTCTCCAGGTGAGAAAGTTTACAGGAATCAGATCTGCGGAGTTCACCAGCGAGCGGGGGATCTTTCGCTCAACATCTGCCGGCTGAAGGCTTTGACAAATTATCGGTCGGCGAATAAGGAGATTAAGGGTGGGATGCAGGGCTTGTTGCAACTTTCGCTCGATGATGCGATCGAGTATATCGGGCATGACGAGGTGGCCGAGGTTACGCCTGTCAGCGTGCGGTTGGCGAAGAGAGCGGGGAAGGGCAAGAAGAGATGAGTGGGGGGTGGAAGACATTCGCGGTTGGGAAAAGGGGATATTTTGTTAGCTTTGTTTTTGCCTTGGTTTTTTTTTCTCCTTTTTGTTGTATGCGAAAAGCGGCCTAGTTTTGCCTATACTTTTAATATAAACCGGATGAGTTAATACACCATTTTGTGTAGGGCTGTACTGTACATAGAATTAGCGGTAGGGTGTAGCAGAGATGAAAGTATTGTGCTGGACGAAGATGTGCTTGCTACGGTGGTGCGCTAAGGGGCGAGCAGTTAGCTTCACAGTTAGCTTCACAGTGTGAACACTGTGTGAACAGATGTGGACAGAATTTGCATAGCCAGGCCACAGCCGAGGCTGTTATGGAAGCGAGTACGGTACCCAAGGGTACTGCAGTGACAAGATCCTGTGGATGGCTGCATCAAGACGGAGACCCGCTCAACAGGAGTTGGATATTTGCTCCTCGTCTCCCAGAAAACCATATTTCCACCTAAATTGTTGTTCCGTCTTTGAATTTTGCGCGTCATTTCGTGCTCGCTGCGGATGGAACGCACAACGAGTACAGAGAGAGTCAGTGCCTCGTCATTCAAAAAAAAAAAGTATTCGACCATAAACCATAAAAATCGCCAGCCGTTGTCCCGCTATCTACACCGCTCAAAAACGCGGCGAGTTGGAATTTGAGATCGCAGTGATGTGTAGATAGAGAGGCTTCAACAACTGGATTGCTGAGTAGTCCGGCAGTGGACGACAATCACCGAAACAAGGGGTGCGGCCGACTGTAAACACAAGTAGAAGATTATTGACAGATCGAGCTCGCCTTGATTTCTCCAGCGTTGGAATCGCCTTCAGATCCGTTTTGTGAGACAAGGGCCAGCGGCGCGGCAACAAATCCCCTCCAGTCGCAAGATGGGACAGCAGGCGCGGTAGGGAAACCGAAACCGGACCCAGTACTTGTCAATCTCGTTTCTTACAGCCTCTCGAAATACGGTGAGGGCCACACCTCTCTGTCTCATGGAGGGCGCAAATTCCGTCTTCGCCTTCCCGACGACCTGTCCCACGGCGCCTCACACTTACAGAAATGCGCACAAAGAATACGACATATCATGCATATCTCAAGTTAGCGATAGACAAGCCAACTGTCATCGGGAGATGCCCTCAGCTGATATTCCTTCGTTATCGTAGACGCCAAAAACGGCACGTCCATCAACATCGCCACATTTGAATTGTCCTCCAATTGCGGCGATTACAAACGCAACAAATGCACACCTCGTCCGACTCCCCACCCTCGCCACCCTTCCCCCTCTTTTCCTACATAAGCATTCCTTATCTTCCAGTTCCTCCACACCGCTACACAATCTTCACTCAGTGCCCCCCACCCCCCTCCCCATTCTAACATGTCTCCTATCAGTCTCACCATCCTCTCTTTTCTTCTGCTTGCTGTCTCGGCGCAACGCATCCCGCGCTCCTCCCTCAGCACAACGTTGTCATGCCAAGAGCGCTGTGTCCCCGACGGCATTGGCCAGCAGCAACTGAACGAGTCCTGCGCCGCCGGCGACTTTGACAAGTTCTGCACGCCCATCCGATGCAGCTGTCCCAGCCCTCCCCAGCAAGTCTCCATCCTGTGTGAGAGCGATGCCTGCTTGAGCAACTTCCGTCGCCGTTCTGCGCGCGTGCGCTTCGGCAACAACAACCCTGATTTCGTGTATGTCGTCACCTACACCGTGCGGGGTACCGTGTTTGACAAGGTGACCAGCAGACCGGGGGCTTGCCAGGTTCTGTTGAGCGGCTCATATCGCCCGCGCACGCGCGGAGTGGTGGTGACAAATGCTATCGCGCAGGCAGTTGTGGATGATGTGTTGGAGGCTTTGATTAGCGAAGGGAGCGGCAAGAGGAGTACTTGCGCGCGCAAGTTGAGAAGGGTTGCGCAGAATGCCGCGGATAAAGTGTTTGAGATGGACACGGGTGAGGCGGAGATGGAGGCGGAAGGAGTTTCAGGGAGGATGAAGATGGAGAGAATCGACGTCAGAAGGTCAGATAGCACGGAGATGTGAGAGGGGCATGGTAGTGGAAGGTATGCAGTTGATAGATAGGTCTTTTGGGTGAGATTGAGCTGTACAATGAGTAAATCTCATTTCATGTCATGGGAACAACTTCGATTGGAGGCGGGTTATCACCTAGCCTTGTCTTTTGACATGTCACTGTTTCTGCGTCGAGGGTTTTGCAACATCTCGAGATAATGCCAAGAGTCAGGCATATATATCCTTTGTCGAACAGATCGAATAGATGGTGGTGACACTGCAGCCATTGCGTCCGTCATCCCATGCCACGGTACCTTGAGGGTTGCTTCGTTCAACAACACGTTTGGGCCAACAAATCGCGAGAGAGTCACATGGGCGAGATTTCATTGACGCGCCCAATGGGAGGAATTGATTCTGGAGAAAGAGTCACTGCTGATTTTGCAGTTCAGTATTCCTGATTCTGCCATTCGATACACGCTAAACCAGAGCGGATGCTGACAACTCTTTCATTCACAAGCAACCAAGTTTGTGACATCAACAGCGAATAGAATTCTTCGACTGCCAGCGCCGGCATACAAACATCAATTATTAACTCTCGTTCAGTAAGTGTTGTATGTATCTAACGGTAGACACTCGCCTGTTTCGGCCACATGCCAGGAACAGCTGCTTGCAGTCTTTATGCAACAAGCCGCGCCGAATTTAGTACGCTGGGTGACCCCTGAGTTAAGAAGTCACCTTCAACCGTACCTCGACTTGTCAAATTTCATACTGTAACTATCGTCTAGCTAGAGGCTTGCATTGCTAAAAGCATTATCGGAGCGGAAAAGAGGAGAACAAACCGCAGATGGATGAATGACGTGTGTATTTCCCATGCCCCTATTCGTCAGAGAAACAATACCGGGATCGTGACGCCTATTGCCAGACTATACCCGTTGACAAGGAACTTCCAGAGTCATTTTTGGCACGTGGCAGGTAGAACTTGGATGCAGCACGTGTGTGGAGGTACTGCAATGCAGGTCGTGTGGAGTATCACTTGAGAACTTCAGCACTCTGCACATGTCCTGCATGCATGAGCAAGTAAATACGGTCTCACGACGACCGCCTGAAATCTCAATATATCCACTCCGCCAGTTTTTCTACGAGAATCGGCTTGAAAGTCACACGATAACAAGTCTCCGATAACTTTCATCCTCCGCGAACCTCCCAATGTAACGTTTGCTAATACCCCACCTATCTTTTCTCGAGCCTCCATCATACCGTAGCTTTCTGAAAAGCCAAGAATATACGCCACCGCCCAACTTAACCAAAACTGTCATCTCTCACTAACACCAAACATCATGTCCGCCGCTACGGGATCGATTCAAAACCTTTTTAAACTCTCAAATGCTTCTCATCTCCAGCCTCCAGCCTCCAGCCTCCAGAACAGAGCACATCGACCTACGTCCACGATGTCTTCCCTCATCTTCTTCATCTCCTTCCTTCTCTTTATCTCGCATTTGCCGAGTACCCTCTCCATGCCGCGCTCTACTCTTGTCACGGTGCTATCGTGCCGCGAATTGTGCAAGCCCTCCGCCTTCCGTGCTTCTTGCCGCAAACCGCCGATTTCTAATATCTGCAGGGCCTCTAGTTGTGAGTGTCCGCGAGACACCCGCAAGCTCCGCGTCACATGCGGTGGAAGCGGCTGTCTATCCAAATCGGTTGGGAGTTCTGTTCGGACGCAAGTCTCTACCTTTCCAGTTAACCTGGTCTCTTGGTCTGTGAACGGCGTGGCTTATGATCGACGCAAGCGCAGGTCAGGTTCATGTAGGATCCTCATCAAGGGAACGTACAGACCCCGTGTCAAAAAGCTTTTGACAACTGCTCAGATGCGAAAGGTGCTTAACGAAGTACTTGGTTCCCTCTCTAAGGCCGGAACAGGAAGGTTTATGTGTGATAAGCAGTTTGCCACTGTTGTACGAAGGGCGACGAACCGCATCCTATAGAGCATCATTGAGAAATGCGGGGTATTGTACCTTGCACGTTAAGGAATATAGATGAGATGTTGAGAATGAGACTAAACTGAAACCGCCTTATTTGCGTTTTAACTGGTGTTCCTTAAGTGCAATGGAGTGTAGTTGAGTTCGTAGATGAGCACCGTTTTTGGCGGTCAGAGGCTTCGTTTTAGACAGATCTTGTGTTTCGATTTTCATGCGTCTTTTTGCCCTCCTTCCATATCGAGAGAGGGTTTGATACCAACGCAAATAGGCTACAATAACATCCAACACATCACATTGTGACGTCATTGAACACAGGAAAAGCCCCACGTTCCACCTGCCTACATTGAAAAATGCATGTCAGTTCGCACAAGGTCGAAATCGGAGGGATGAATCGGAGAGTATGGAAGCCTATGTAATTGACCTACTCTTCTCCCCATTCGATTACTTCTTCACGAATACAAATTTCCTCTTATGTTGCATGCAGCATGAGAGATCGATTGGGCAACGTGCCCGACCTACTTTTTCCATCTCAATTTTGTGGTGATTCCTTCATATGACTCCCAGTCATTCCTCTCTCATGTCGTTGGCCAACGGCACCTCCCTTTTGCTCAGTGGTTATCATTCCCTGCATGACAAATTTTATCGACTGGTGCTTAAAAAAACACCCTTCTTTGAAGGTCGCAATGCGTGTAGTCATGAACCGACGCATATCTGGAAGAGATACATTCCGAGGCATGTACAATCGAGAGAGGCAAGAATATGAGCCCGCGATGAGGATAAAGAGACTGGGAATAGAGAAGACAACGAAAACATTTCCACAACTACGAAATTATCTGCCCTGATTGATTGTCGATTTCTTTGTCGAAATATTCTTTGGGGGAACGAGAAACCAAACGCATGAGAAAGGATCGTAAAAAGAACAGAAATCTAGAGCAAGGGAGAAAATGAAAAGGTAATGGAAAATAACCTTGATGGGAGAACCAAAGAGAGGGGATAAAACTGAAATGAAGAGGTGTGGAGGTGCAGGCAATGGGCTAAGCAATTTTTGGTACACATTTGCGCAGTGTGACGTCTTGCGGTAGACGAGCGTTCGCGAGCAGAAAAGGAAAGCAAAAGGCAAAACGATGGCCAACGTCCTCTGGGGTCTGCGGTCCTGCAGTTCGTCCCCATCGGCTGCCTTTATTCGAAGTCTTTTTTGGGCAGATCGCCTAATGCACGCCCGTTCAGCGCACGGTGTCTTGCCTCCAGCACAGACGACCGTTCGTGCGTCGGCCTCTTCCAAAAGACAGCGGGGGAATGTTTCTCCTACTGACAGTGAGAGACCGTCACAGCAGGTAAAACTTGCCACAGACCATGCTGCATCGACCATGCTGTTGAAAAATCAATGGGGCGTGGAAACAGCATCACTTCCTGTAAATGAAACAAGCAGGCGGTAAGATGCGTTGTCACAGTTCTTGCACCCATCACGGGGTCGGATGCTCTCAAAATCCAACGTCCCTTCTTGTGACTGTTGACGGCTTTGGTATCTTGTTTTTTGCGTTCAGGACAGCCAGGCCGTGCTGTGTAAAGACCACCGACTCAGAACAAGTAGTATTCGGCAGTGATACGACTAGTTCCTGACGCAAGCACTCTACAAGGGAAAGAGGGACTTTGCCTTTGCCACGATAAGGATGTATCTCTTCGTTCAATGGGGAATGGTGCAACAGCATATATTTCTTGGAAATCTGAAGCTTGCCCATTAAGGCGAATCGGAGACACTAATAATGCAGAATTAGAAATGAACTTAAGATTCCGATATTTTACCCCACAAAGTGAACATATCAATGTACGTCGGGACACTACTTCAAGTATCTTCCACAAAGAACGAATGAACTACTCGAAAAGGACCCATTCTCTTCAGAAGCACAAGTACGACACGGCCAAATGCAAACATGCTTACATCATGCACATGTTCCTCTTCCTCCTCGACTGCCTCCTCAAGAAACGTAGTTGCCATTTCTTTAAACCATCAAAGAGAAGGTTACCTTGACAAGAACTGAGACTAAACGGAAGAGAGAGAGATCCAATTTGTGTGCCCAAGTAGAGTACGAGCACGGAGCCCTTCTTCAGTGAAACCCCACAAGAAGCGGAAGAAAGAGACGACTGGCCGAAGAAGATCGTATTTGGCGGGCAACCACGGAAGGTGCGGAGCAAACGAAACTTGTACTTAATCGGCTGCGGGAAAAAGATGGGCGGTAGACACGGCGGGACGGAGTCGAGACACGGCGGCGGGGGCGGCGGGGGAACCACTGTAACGGAGACGACTCGAGCTTTGACAACCCGACTGGCAGATCGGTATCGCTGGCCAAACGTCGAGAAGACGCACGAACACGCGAAAGCATGAGAAAATAAGGCGAACAGAAGAGCGGCTTGAAACACTGCACGGACCATCTTGGTTTCTGCAGAGCTGAGTGCGAGGTAATCTTTGCAGGGGCCGGGATAAGCACGGATGGAATGGGCTGCTTGACTAGACTCCAAGGCTCAAGAGGGAAATGTATAAATTGAGGCGATGGCCATGTTTTAAACTATCTCGCCTTCTGGATTGCAATCCACAATTCTAGTAGGTTACAAAATTATCCTCAAAGAAAGACGTAACGTGATCTCCAATGCGCGATCTCTATACCGCAGTCCAATGGCTCTGGAGAAACGTATGGAACAAAAGGGATCTTCCACTGAAGCCAGCCGAGTGATAGAGTGGAAGGATGAATTGTTGGGAATGATTTGCCGGTAGGCACCGCGGAATGGGACACCTCCGGAGAGCGTATGATACCGTCTGCCTCGATCTGGCTGTAACTGATAGAGAGGTGCCTATTCCGGTAGACTGATTGAGATGCAGAGAGGGGTGGGGCAGCATATTCAAGCTCTACGTACTGTGCCCAGCCGCAGTGCAGTCCTGTACCCTTGGGTACCTGTGCTGTCACAGATAACTTCGGTGTGATTCTACTTCACGGGGACCGTCTACAGCAAGGACGACACCAGCCCAATATCCTAACTCCGAAGCAGGTCAGCCGCACGCGTAGTCTCTCTCAGAGCCGAAAACACCGGGCCAAAGGTATCTTTCCTCCCTTTTCCAGGTCCTGCTGTAGTTCTCAACACTCCTTCCATTCCAAATCCCGTTGTCCTCCGTTCCCTTATGTAAGTTTACTCCTCGCCATTTCATTGTTGACTTCTGTTCATGCCAAGCACAGTTTCCACCCCGCATTCTCCCCCTCCCCACCTGCTGCAGCGCATGCGTGGCGCTCCTCTCTCCCTGATGACCACCACGGACCTCCAATTGTTCTGCATCCCGACCCTTTTCGTTCTCTCGGTCCCCCTTCATATGGCGACATCCGTCCACGAGCCTTCACGCGTACTGAGTCCTATCTTGCAGATCCAGATCAAAGCCTGATATGACATGTGTACTCAATCCGCCCTGCCACAGAACAGGTGTGTGCTCCGTTCCCCCGCAGATGCTCGCCTCCATATTTCCCCCTGGAACGATATCGCGTTAGAAGATTAACCGAACGTTTACCCATAGCATGCAGTTCACAGACGAAGATAGGGTAGATCTGAGTATAGCTTCTACGACAGCAGCATCTCGTCCTTTACAATGAAGAACAGTTTTAAACAGGCTCCCTACGGCAAAGCGTATATAAAAGCACCGCTCACATCATACCGTTCTTCTTCTTCGTTCTGGGTGCTTTCCTAAGAAGAGTTCTTTCTTCGCGCTCAACTCGCTAAACTGAATAATGCCTAGCCTTTAAGTCGGATAAAGGAAATCTCCAGCCGTTTTTGTTCCGTTTCTCAGGGGCAGACAGTGGAACTTAACCTTCCGCTTCAAAGCTTAGCAGGAGATTGACACATTTGTTGCGAAGAAAGCAGTTTTCCGCTGGCATCCGCGAAAGCTGTCCGCAGCTAAACAATGAACTTGACATTCCGTCAAGTTGATGACCCTGACACGAACTTCATTTTCACGACAAGTCCGTTGGCAACATAAGCCGACCACCGAAATCCGTCACGAGAAGACACTTTGCCGCATTAGCAGGAACAAGTGCTTGTTGAAAGCACCAAAAGAGGACATGATAACAAGACGAAATAGCAGCTGTCTTTCACCCAATAATTATTTTAATTGTAGGACAGCGGGGTCGTGATCGAGACTACACGAAGCTACCGCTTCTGGTGCTTTGGTACTGCATCAAGATTGTGGAGGGCTGTGAAGAGCCAGAGCGAGGTCCATGATATGAGAGGACGTTGGGGCACGGGCATCGATGCCTAAAGACTACTGGCGATAACTGAGGGGTTTAATGGTCTTGAAGCCACCCAATATTAATCGAGCAACGCTGAAATCAGAACAGAAAATAAGCACTTCAGTCCTTCTCCACCTCGCACGCTGTTCTATTGAAATCGTACAATCAATGACTGCCACTCGTAAAATATGTATCGGTTGATCTTTTGGTGAAGCAGTACACCCGCCTGGCCTAATAAAAAGCTGAAACAAACCCCACAGCGAAACTCTGTTCACATCAGAAGTCTTCAAGAAATAACTGTGGATATCTTCAAGGACGGTGACACAAATGGCGAAAGTGATGATGACATGGCTGTCGCTGCACTCATCCGTGGGGGTCTCCTACCCTGTACCGCACGAAAAACAAAAGGAAAAGCCAGTGTTCGGCGGTTCTCGGTCAGGTACAGTAGATCTGACAACGTCAATCGGGACTTCAAGACGGCTTATTGCAATCTCCAGCAAGACTATTTCTCGGCGTTTCCGCGATACGACGAGGCTTCATTCGAGCGACGATTTCGCTTGCCTCGAACTGTATCCGGGGGTTTTGGATGTGTTTCGGCAAGTTCGCGCCAATTTGAACCAATGGGCAAGTGTCATGTCGCTGTTCTATTGCTTGTGAACAAACCAGATTTTGGTCAATAGAGTGATTCTATTGACCATAATTGGTTTATTGCAACGAATAAACCAGACAATACTGTAGAGAGTTTAATACAATTGACCAAATGCAGTGGGGTTCCATTTTTTGGTCATTGATGAAAGCCAAAAAATAAAACGTGCAATAGACCTGCGGTGGAGATGGTCTGAA